GAAAGAAAGAAAGAAAGAAAGAAAGAAAGAAAGAAAGAAAGAAAGAAAGAAAGAAAGAAAGAAAGAAAGCCACCTCTTCTTCCTCCTGTCTTTTTCTCTCTCCCCTCCTGCAGGGTTACACTCACCTCCTCTGCTGGGCACAGCTGCTGTCCCAGGACTGGTCACCCCCATCAGCAACAGCTTTGCAGGAATGGTGGCCATTCCCAGCAGCCACCCCGCCCTGGAGACAGTTTATGCAAACGGGCTGGTCCCCTGCCCAGGTAGGACCGAAAGGCGGAGGCTGCGGCTGGGTTCACGAAGAGCAGAGGTTGGGGGAACTAGGACCCTTCTACCACCTGTGGACTTCAACTCCCAGAATTCCTGAGCCCGGATGCTGAATGCTGGCTCAGGGATTCTGGGAGTTGAAGTCCATATGTCATAAAAGGGCCCTGGAGAATGACCAGTTGGCTTGTGTCTTTTGCGTACAACTTTGGGCTGGGCCTATCCTGGTCCCTACTGGAGACAGTCAGTGGGTGAGGAGTATTTTCGATTTTATGGTCCTAAATATATTTGAAAAGGAGAAAACAACAACTCCCAAAAAGTGGCAATGTTTGCTTCTTGACAGGTGAATTGGGGAAGGGGCTGCCCTGAGACTGGTGGGACCTGAGTTCTCATCTCCCTTCAGCCTCAGAAGCTGATTGGCTGATTTGGGGCCAGCCCACCCATCTTAATCCAAGAGCCAATCAGGTGTAGTCAGGGAGGAGCCAGACTGGGTTCTAGTCCTACCTCAGCCACAGAAAGTCATTGGCTGATTTGGAGTCAGCCCCTCCCTCTCAGCCCAAGAGCCAATGAGACATAATAAAGGAAGGGCTGAACTAGGTGTGGGGAGACCTGGGTTCTAATCCCTCCTCAGCCTCAGAAACTCATTGGCTCATTTGGGACAGTCCCCCTCCCTCAGACCCAATCAGATGTGGTGGGGAGGGGGCTGGGCTGGTAGGGGAGAGACCTGGGTTCTAATCCCCCCCACCTCCAGCCCTCCCAGGGGCTTTGAAACAGCACTTATTTTTAACATAAACTACCTCAAAGGTTTATTGTGATGAAAAGGAAATAGGAGGAGGATATTCTGTACAGGTCGTTTTGTTTAGTGACTGTTCAAAGTTACAACGGCTCTGAAAAAAGTAACTTATGACCGTGTTTCACACTTACGACCATTGCAGCCTCCCCACGGTCATGTGATTAAAATTTGGATGCTTAGCAACTGACTCATTTTTATGATGGTTGCAACATCCCAGGGGAGTGCGATCCCCTTTTTCGACCTTCTGACAAGCCAAAGTCAATTGGGAAACCAGATTCACTTAACAATTACCCTATTTTTCGGAGTATAAGATGCCCCTTCCCCCCCCCCCCACTAAAAGAGGGTGAAATTTGGGTGCGTCTTATATACTAAATGTAGCCCCACCCACTCACCGTCCCCCACCTTTTGGCCTCTGCCTCCCAGCAATTTACTTCCTTGCAACAATCAGGGAAAATGGGGCTTGCGGAGGCTGCAATAGGCCATGGCAATCCCTGCAGCCTGAAACAGCTGATGATCGGGAGGCCCCTGCTGAAACTGAAAGTGAAACTTGCTGTTTGCTCCACGAGGCAAATTGCTGGGAGGCAGAAGCAGATATTTTTTTTCTTGTGCTAATCAGGCTGTTTGCTGCTTGCTGCAAGGAGGCAAGTCAATAACTATAAATGCCTATAGAATGTTCAAACTAGGGGTGGGTTTCTCGCCCCGTTCCAACCGGTTCGGTTGGAACGGGGCCGGCGGCGTCCTCGTGC